AACAAAAAAAAAAAAAAAAAAACACGAAAATCGATCTCCGACTCTTCACGTCTTCGCCAACGAGACCTATCAGGTAGCTGTTTGAGGAATGTTTGAATATCTGTATCTCTATTTATAGGACGTGGGTCGATGATATTTTGAGAAAATTTATCGATGCATTAGTTAAGTTTAAGCTTTCGATTAGATTTTTGAATGGCCGAATCGCGAAAGTTAAGGGAAGAAGCAGGTGGGGGAAGATGGAAAGGCCAAGTAGAGAGTTCCAAGGAGAGAGATGGATTGAGAGGCAGGAATGTAGCTTTTGTAGGCGTTTGTTGAATTCAATTATTGGTTTTTGATTTCAAGTCTGTTTGTCTGAGGGGCTGTTCTGTTCTGTGCTGTGCTGTGCTGTGCCTTATCAAGGGGACTTTGCTTTCCATGTACCTTTCTCCTTTTCTCTTCTCTTTTCCTTTGAATTAGAACTTAACATATGCAAAAATGTATCGTTTCGGGCTTCGTTTGCTCTTATATCGATTTAGTTCTTCTTGTTTTTGAATTACCTAACGAACCCTAAACGTTTTGTTGATTTACGTTATGAGCGGATATCAATATATTCGAATGATGTATTCAAGACTATTTGTAGTAGATCAAATATCTATTACGTTTAATAGAACTAAAACAAAATGGAAATAGAAATTCTTGATAGGGAAAACCAAGATCCACCGTTAGTAGATACTGTCCTCTTTGGGTTTTTCCTTTCGGGCTTCCTCTCGAGGCTTTAAAACGGCTAGGAAAAGGTTTTCACACTTTTATAAATGGTGTTTCGTTCTCCTCTCGAACTAATGTGGGATATCACAATCTACCCCTTTCAGGGCCCAGCGTCCTTATGACACACCGCCTCATGTTTTCCTGAAGACACACCGCCTCATGTCTACTCCTTCAGGGAACAGCCTCCTCACATGTACGTAGTTCGGTGTCTGACTCTGATACTATTTGTAACGGCCCAAATCCACCGTTAACAGATATTGTCTTCTTTTGATTTTTTCTTTCGGGCTTCCCCTCAAACCTTTAAAACGCGTTTGCTAGGAAAAAGTTTCCACACTCTTGTAGGGTGTTTCGTCCTCTTTCCAACTAATGTGGGTTATCACAATCCACCCCTTTCAGGGCCCAGCGTCCTTACTGGCACACCGCCTCATGTCTACCCCTTTCAAGGAACAGCCTCCTCACTGGCACATAGTTCGGTGTACTCTAAGACTATTTGCAACAGCCAGATCCACCGCTAGTAGATATTGTCCTCTTTGGGCTTTTCCTTTCGAGCTTCTCCTCAAGGCTTTAAAACGCGTCTGCTAGAGAAAGGTTTCCACACCCTTATAAAGCCGTCCTCCTTCCCAACTAATGTGGGATATCACATAACTAAAATACCTTTTTTTATATCTGATAGGAGTTTTTCTTCCTCTACAATCACGAGTCAATACCACCTTCATATAACAAAACTATCCCAAATAATCTTAACGTTACAACGACTTAGTTTAATATTTAGTTACACTTAAATTGTAAACGCTCGTTGAAAAGTCACATGGGAATGATACCTTGTTGGATTGTAGGGTTTGGAAGTTTGTTTATAAGACCACGAGTCTATGACGAATGAGTGAAACCTATTGCCCCACCTTATGAGATATTCTTATGGCTAACTTCCAAACCTCCAAAATCCACCACTACCCATTGCACCACATTTTGAAGCAGTCATTCTCTTCAACAGTTCTCTCTATTCTCTAACTCTATTTTTTTCCTCTATGTCTTCTTCTGTTCTGAATTCACACCGCTATGCTCGGAACTTCTTTCTTCCCCTTTTCACCAATAAAGTGTGCTTTTCTTAAAAATAATAGATCTTTTACGAAAATCTGACATCATACCTCAATTATTTACTATTTAAATGCGGGCCAATATGATGATCTTTCTGGCCACGATGCCACGATCTCTCTCCTTGTGTTTTGAAACATGACAAACTATTGGTTGACAATAGATGGGGATTTTCGGGGATTTCCGAGTTTGCGTTAAGTTGATATTGTTATGAATCTAAGATGACGTAATTTGTGTTGATTGTTCAAACTCTGACGTAGATGAGTTCAAAACAGTTTAATACTATAAAACATACATCACTTTATACTATCTCAAAATTTAACTAAGCCAACTTTAACGTCATGAAATAAAAGACATATTCGTTGTGATCCAATAAAGGGTAGAAACCCTTTTCATCACTCTAATAGTCGGTACGAAATTTAACCTTAATAGTGTGCGATAGGACAAAAGTAGAAGACGAAATGAGGACATACTCATTGTGGTCGAATACAAGACATCTTAAGGGCGCTTTTTAAGCAAAACATAATAAAGATTGGGAAGTTTGATTCCTCGTATTGATACCTAGTTAGGATATTAAAATATCACAAATTTGACCGTAGGGCCAAACAATCATGCTATGTGTACAAGCATAATACACAAATGTAGGAGAACAAAAGCAAGAGATTTCCTTCTCTCTCTTCACCTGTGTGTCATAATCTGTATTCAACACTTGGAGGTCTAAACATGGAGTTGCTAATCAAGTCATATAATTATAAGGAATCAGTATAAGAGAAGCTTAGCTGATGAAACAGTGGATGCAGTGTGTGTAGGACGCCTCCTAGGATGCCATTGGAGGCTGTGGCAGCTACTTCCATGGCATATTCTCACCTCCCACAGCTGCTCTGCTACCACACTGCTGCGGGGGAACGGCCAACCAAGTGGCTACGCCTGCGGATGGAGTCAGAAGCCTGCAAACACAAACCAAATTCCAAACACAAACTACACCAAACTCAAGCTTTATTAACTGGTTCATTTGCAGGATTCAAACACATATTATATGGATCAAGACTTCACAAACACTATAAATGACTATAATTACAGAACGCAACTTAAAAACAGGCCAACAAGAAGCAAGAAATTCTGTGAGGCCTCAAATCCTTAATGGTATTACTGCAAAGCACTTCAGTCTCGTCTTTGAACGAATGATCCACAACTATGAGAGATTGCACATTTGCAGTCCTCCTGGAAATGCCTATGCATCCCAAAAGCATCCAGCAGCAGATACCAGGAAGTAAAAAAGCTAAAAAGCTAAACGAACAGTACACAAACAAATGCTGTGAGATCCCACACCAGGGGCGGATTGTAAGATCCCACATCCGTTAGAGAGGAGAACGAAACATTCTTTATAAGGGTGTCGTCTCCCTAGTAGACATGTTTTAAAACTTTGAGGGAAAACCTAAAAAGGACAATATCTGCAAGCGGTGGACTTAGGCTGTTACAAATGCGCTCTGATTAGCCGAAAAGAATTTAAAAATAGAAGTAAATAAATAAAGTAGCCAGAGCTCTTCAGAATCTAATCCATAGTATTAACCCTCCATGGGGCCACTGTCAGGGGAAAAAACTACATTCTTTTTCAAGCTTTTCATTTCCAAATGAAAGCAGCAAATCCATTATCGAAGCTTCTTTCTAAACCAAATTTGAAGGGATTTAACTGACCAATGATTCGGGTTAAACCCCGCAACCTCTTTTTGGAAGTGCATTTGAATAATTCCTGTTACTCATCCTTTCATTTGAGGAAGGTTCAAGAGACCAACTTGCCACAGTAGAGAGAGGCTAAGAGGTTACCAGCCAAAAAATGAAGCTGTGATAAGATCTCAAAAGCTTTCATATGCAAATTCAGTTGAAAACCTACATGTCAATATAAATCATATAATTTTAATATCAATCAAAACCTATTCAATTGGTATTTTTTTGGGGAGGGGAGCAGAGGGAGGGACCATTCACCTCTTTCATATCTTATGTATGTGTCACCAAGTGCAACTAGATATTAGATGTCCTGCTGATTATAACGCAACTTGGAGTTAGCAGTAGGGTAGAGAGAACTCAACTA